AGAGAGAGAGAGAGAGAGAGAGAGAGAGAGAGAGAGAGAGAGAGAGAAAAGATGGAAAGAGGATTATTTATTTATCTGCATCAACCTTTTGTAAGCAGGAACCCTCTAAATGTTTAGGTCTTCAACTCTCATCATCCATGACTGATCGCTAAAGAATTACTACAATACAGGTACTCCTCGACTTACAACTACAATTGAGGCCCAAATTACAGATTAACAGAGTTGGAAGGGACCTTGTAGGTCATCTAGTCCAACCCCCCGCCCAAGCAGGAGATCCTACACCATTCCTGACAGATGGCAGTTCAGTCTCTTCCTGAAAGCCTCCAGTGATGATGCTCCCACAACTTCTGAAGGCAACTTCTGTTCCATTGGTTGACGGTTCCCACGGACAGAAAGTTTCTCCTTATTTCTAGGCTGAATCTCTCCGTGTTCAATTTCCATCCATTATTCCTTGTCTGGCCTTCGGGTTCTTTGGAAAATACCGTAGCTTGACCCCTTCCTCTCTGTGGCAGCCCCTCAAATATTGGAACACTGTTATCATGTCTCCCCTGCTTCTCTTCACTAGACTAGAGAATTGTTTTGCCCCATAAGTACAACTTTTTGTGCCACAGTTAAGTGAGTCACTTCAGTTGTTAAGTTAGTAACACGGTTGTTAAATGAATCTGGCTTCCCTATTGAGTTTGCTTGCCAGTAGGTCTCAAAAGGTGATCATGTGATTAGAATTAGAATTAGAATTCCTTATTGGCCAAGTGTGATTGGACACACGAGGAATTTGTCTTGGTGCAAATGCTCTCAGTGTACATAAAAGAAAAGATACATTCGTCAAGACTCAAGAATCATAAGGTGTCATGATCCCAGGACACTGCAACCGTCATAAATCTGAGTCTATTGCCAAGCGGCTGAATTTTGATCACATGACCGTGGGGATGCTGCAATGGTCACTAGTGTAAAAAACGGTCATAAGTCACTTTTTTCAGTGCCATAGCTTTGAACAATCACTAAATGAACTGTTGTAAGTTGAGGGCTACCTGTATTATTAGCCTCAATCAATCTGCTACTACAGTGATCCCCAACCTTTCTTATGCCGCGGCCTGGTATCCCCAACCTTTTTTATGGCGCGGCCCGGTACCGACATCAGCTGGGCGCCGCCATCTTTTTTTGATGAAAAAGTGCTTCCGGTGAGCTTTTCCGGGTAGAAAGCTCACCGGAAGCACTTTTTCATCAAAAAAAGATGGCGGCGCCCAGCAAACCAGCAGCCCGGTAGGACTTGTTCCACGGACCAGTACCGGTCTGTGGACCGGTGGTTGGGGACCCCTGTGCTACTAGATGAAGGCCAATTATGGACCATTATCTACCGCCCTATTCCAGGAAAGGTTGATAAGGCAGAGGTTTTTCAACATCCCAGTATTAGAGGCGGGGAGGGAGGAACTAATTCCTCAGGAGTTTGCATGGCTTGGAACTTGGAACTTGGATTTTCCCACCTTTGATCCAGACCCCATCATTTATATCACAATGGTTCCTTGCTAAGGAGTATACACAAAGGAGTATATACAACACATCTGGCCGGAGATGATACATATCTGGTGTCTTTTTCATCTGTACATACTACTCAGAATGAACCAAAGTGTCAAAATATCAATCAATAGCTAACATAAGTAAAGTTAAAGGTTAAAGCACATACGTGCTAGTCGTTTCTGGCTCTAGCGGGCGGTGCTCATCTCTGTTACAAAGCCGAAGAGCCAGCGCTGTCCGAAGACGCCTCCATGGTCATGTGGCTGGAATGACTAAACACCGAAGGTGCACAGAACGCTGTTACTTTCCCACCAAGGTGGTCCCAATTTTTCTACTTGCATTTTCTAACGTGCTTTCAAACTACTAGGTTGGCAGAAGCTGGGACAAGTAACAGGAGCTCACTCCACTGTACAGTGCTAGGGATTCGAACGGCTGAACTGATCGACAAGCTCAGCTTCTTAGCCACTGAGCTGCCATATCCCTTTCTAATACAGGTAGTTCTTGACTAATGACCACAATTGAGCCCAAAATTTCTGTGGCTAAATGAGACATTTGCTAAGTGAGTTGTTTTGCCCCATTTTACGACCTTTCTTGCCACCATTGTTAAGTGAATCATTGCAATTGCTAAGTTAGTAACACACGGTTGTTAAGTGAATCTGGCTTCCCCCTTCACTTTGCTTGCCAGACGGTCACAAAAGGGGATCACATGACCCCCCCTGGAACCCTGCAACCGTCATAAATATGAGCTGGTTGCCAAATGGCTGAATTTTGATCATGTCACCGTGGGAATACTACAATGGTCGTTAAGTATGAAAAACAGTCATAAGCCACTATTTTCAGTTTGAAATGTCACTCCAGTCAGGGAGTCTGGGGAGGACTCGGACTCGGATCCTGCCTCCAATGCAGGGATGGGGCCAGGACCATCTGGGAGTGGGGTGCTACCTCCAGAGCCTGGCAACAGCGAGGCAGAGGACCCAGGGGAGCCTGTTCCCAGTGTGTGTGTGCACAGAGCTGCTAGAAGGCAAGAACAGCTGAAACAAAAGGGGCGACTCGGGAGTACGGCTGGGAGGTGATTGCCCTTCCCATCAGGGATAAAAGTCAGACCTCAATGACGAACTCTTTGCAGGAAGCAAAGTAGTTTGATAGATTCTGAGTCCTCCTTGATTCTCTGTGTACGCTGGTCAGTTTTTTTCTGGTACTTCGGTTGGTTTCTGTTATAATTAATTAGAATACTTCTGTTTTGGGCATCATTCCACAGCAACGAAAGGCGTGGGGAACTGTTTAAGATTAGTTCTGGCTGGTAATGAAAGTAATTCCCCGCATTGCATTAAAATAGGTTTTGCTTTTAAAACAAGTTTGCGTTTCATTACGTTTGACGAAGCCTGGGTGAAAACAATTGGGACAACAGCTCAGTCAAAGTAAAAACTGCACACAACACACACACACACACACACACACACACACACAACCTTCGGATGGGATCTTACGCTGGGGAACCTGGAAGACAAGATTGGTCCAAACAATGCATGGCAGCTTCAGCTGATCCTGGGAATCCTGGCCTGAGAGTCCCACAGCAGCTGCCTTCATCTCTCCGAAGGAGGAAACTTTTTGGCCTGCAGTGGGTGTAACAGAACAACAGAGTTGTAAGTCTGGAGATTCTCAGTCGTCCAGGCCACGGTTGTCCCAAAGGTGCTTTTTTTCAAGTTGTAACTGGACTTTCTGGTTTTTCTTTGGAGACGTTTCACTTCTCATCCAAGAAGCTTCTTCAGCTTGGATAGGGAGCAAAACGTCTTCCAAAGAAAAAACCCAAGGAAGTCCTCCGGTAAGTTGCCTCTTGAAAAAGCCCCTTTGGAACAACAGAGTTGGAAGGGACCTTAGAGATCTTCTAGTCCAACCCCAGGCTCAGGCAGGAAACACTATACCATTTCAGACAAATGGTTGTCTAATTTCTTCTTAAAAACTTCCAGTGTTGGTGCATCCACAATTTCTGGAGGCAACTCATTCCACTGATTAGTTGTACGGATAGTCCTCAATTAATGAACATTTGCTTAGAAACTATTCAAAAAGAATAGAAAGAAAAAAAAGAAAAAGCCTTAAGAAAGTTGAAAACATTCTCAAAGATCCATCTCATCCTGGGCACCCTTTTTTTTTTTTTGCACTATTACTATCTGGCAGATGGTACAGGATAATAAAAACAAGGACAAACAGGCTGAAAAACAGCTTCTGTCCCAGAACAGTAACTATATTGAATTATACTGTATAGTCAGTGCAATATTAATGCCATATAGGGGTTTTCAATTCAATTCTATAGAATGTGAAGGATGTGTGTTTGTGTTTATTTTCATGGTCATAATGTATACTGAAGATGGTATTTCATCTCGTTGTATGAGGTGCAATGACAATAAACTAAACTAAAGTTGCGATGCCTCCACCACCCCCAAGAAAAGATCCTGATGACCTGGTTCCAGTGTTCCCACAGCAGCATTCACACGACTCCATTTTGAGCACTTGCAACTGGTTCACCTTTACAACTGGTTGCAGCGTTCAGTGCCACGTGATGCAATGTGCGGTGTCTATAGGCGGATTTCCAGCATACAAACATATTAATTCACTGAACAACCAATTACGATTGCAATATCAGGTCAGTCATATGGGTGCTTCGACTCCTCAAGTTCACGTCGTCAAGTTACGACTGCAACAGAGTCCAAAATTTATTCTGTTGCTAAGTGCGACTTGTTATGTGAGTTTTACCTCATTTTACAACTTTTTTTGCCATAGTTGTTAAGCGAATCACTGCAGTTGTTAAGTTAATAACACGGTTGTTGAGTGAATCTGACTTCCCCATTGACTTTGCTTGTCAGGAAAATTACAAAAGGACCCCCGGGACACTGCAACCATCATAAATATAAAACAGTTGCCAAGCAACTGTTCTAGGGGGCACTGCTCATCTCCGTTACAGAGCTGAAGAGCCAGCTCTGTCCGAAGACGTCTCCATGGTCATGTGGCCAGCATGACTAAACACCGAAGGCGCACGGAACGCTGTTCCCTTCCCACCCAAGGGGTCCCTATTTTTCTACTTGCATGTTTAACATGCTTTCGAACTGCTAGGTTGGCAGAAGCTGGGACAAGTAACGGGAGCTCATTCCGTTACACGGTGCTAGGGATTCGAACTGCCGAACTGCTGACCTTCCTGATCGACAAGCTCAGCGTCTTAGCCACTGAGCCGCCACGTCCCTTTCTAATACAGGTAGTTCTCGACTAACAACCACAATTGAGTCCAAAATTTCTATGGCTAAACGAGACATTTGCCAAGTGAGTTGTTTTGACCCATTTTACGACCTTTCTTGCCACCATTGTTAAGTGAATCATTGCAATTGCTAAGTTATTAACACACGGTTGTTAAGTGAATCTGGCTTCCCCCTTCACTTTGCTTGCCAGACGGTCACAAAAGGGGACCACATTATCCCCCTGGGACACTGCAACCGTCATAAATATGAGCCAGTTGCCAGTTTTGATCCCGTGAGTGTGGGGATGCTGAAACAGCCACGAGTGTGAAACACAATCATAACTCACTTTTTTCAGTGTCATTATCACTTCGAGCGGTCACTAAACAAATGGTTGTAAGTCAAGGACTACCTGTATATATACGCCCTCATGCCCAAAGTTGGAGGGCACATTTTGACAAGAAAGAGTTGATGGCCAATTTCTCATCGGATGAATGTTAGGACCTGAACACTTTTGACTGCTACTTCCTTTTAATGATCCTGCCCTGTTGGTTGGGATCAAACCATCCACCTGTCAGCTTTTGAGCCTAGCCCTAATTTTCACCCGTCACCTCTCACGAAGCCGCTGGAAAGAGGCAAAGCCACTGATCGATGTATTTCCGTGCGGTCATCATTACAAACTTCAGGTTTTAAAATAAAATACCCTGAGTGGAAAGAAGTAGAAGCAAGCTGCAAGGAGATTCAGATCTAAAAGATGAAGGGATACACCAATGTCACCTAAACAAAATTTACACATTACTTACTCTAGGCAGATTTTTATATTTTGCCACCCGATCTATGCCAGTGGATCGATTCCCCAGGAAATCTAACCTGAGCGGCGAATATTTCTGCAGTTCTAGATCTCAAGAGTTTGTCTTTCGTTTTGTTTCTTTCCACTTCTTTGTGTGCCTGCTGTATTTGAACGCCTCTAGTAACTAAGCAATGGAGACAGACACACCGTTCCAACCACCCAGACAAAAACCATAAGCCATATTTAAATATCCAATGGGTTGTCTGGTTGTTGGGTGGCTGGGGGCAGACAGAAGGCAGGGGAGGAATAATATTGGATTTTCTGAAATAGGTAAGGTTGCCAGAGCCTTAAAAGAACCACGGCAGGTGAGTTTCTTTATGAGAAAACATTGCACGAAAACACCCAGCAAAACCACTTTTAATCCAATTACAGAACAGAATAACAGAATTGGAAGGGACCTTGGAGGTCTTCTAGTCCAACCCCCTCCTCAAGCAGGAAACCCTATACCCATTCCAGACAAGTGACTGTCCAGTCTCTTCTTAAAAACTTCCAATGATGAAGCACCCACAACTTCTAGAGGCAAGTCATTCCACTGGTTAATTGTTCCAAATATCAGGAAATTTCTTCTTGATTCTAAGTTGCTTCTCTCCTTGATTAGTTTCCACCCATTGCTTATCTATCAGACTTGTAAGTCTGACTCATAGACGAACACAATACAGAAGCCTGATGATGGCAGATGAGATTCTGCCGAAACGTTGCTACAACTTTAAAAGCACAACTATAATGACGTGGGAAAATACCCGAACTAAGCTGAATGCCATACATGTAAGTACCCACAAAAACTTAAGAAAACTAATATATACAGTGTATACACAGGGGGATTGGACTAGAATACCTCCAAGGTACCTTCCAACTCTATTATTTTTATTATATATGACTATATGTATGTATGTACGTATGTACGTACATATGTATATGTGCAGGAGTGGGATTCAATGGCCTAATTTGTGGGTGTGGCTTGGTGATCATGTGACTGGATGGGCGTGGCTTGTCGATGGGACATGGCTTGGTGATCATGTGACTGGCTGAGCATGACTTGTATGTAAATATTATAAATATTTATGTAAATATTGAATTTTTTATAAAAAAAAGCAACTACCCAAAATCAGGCAAAGCAGGCAGGCAGGTTGAGTTGCTTGCAGAATCACAGATTTACCCAGAGATCTATCTTTTTGCAATCTGCTACCTGAGTCTGCACTGAAAAATAGAAGCTTCAGTCCTAAGGAAGGTTCAGCTCTGCTTTTAGATTAACTAGAAAGCAAGAAATCCAACAATTTCCTGCTTTCTAGCTAATCTAAATATCACATCTGATAGTCGGAACAGCGATGGTAGGGAGAAAAAAGGAAAAATAGCAACTTACTAAATATTAGGTGAAGGCACAAGGCAGGCAAGTTGGATGGAGTGCATGACAGGTAAGGAGTGAGTGGGAGGGGAGGGGCCAGCCTGTGGTGGGATTTGCCAGTTCTCCGAACTGCGCAGAATCGTAACAACCAGTTCTATAGAACTGGTCTGAACAGGTAGAATCCCACCCTGTGTATGTGTATGTATATGTGTTATGTCCCACCTTCTAAAATAAACAGTTAAGGCTGAAAGCAGCAGTCCTTGTAAAGAAAGGCAGCAAACAGGAAAATGTTATGTCCCACCTTTTAAAGTAAACAGATAAGGCTGAAAGCAACAGTCCTTGTAAAGAAAGGCAGCAAACAGGAATTTTCACAGATAGCTCCAATAAGTAAAAGTTCCAACGAACTAAATCCAAGACTCAACAAGATTCTTCAGATCAAAATCCTTCACAAAATAATTCCAATAAGTAGAAGTTCCAACGAATTAAATCCAAATCCCAACAAGATATTTCAGATCAAAATCCTCCAAACTGTGCTCTTCAGTTCTCCTTGCAAATAGACACTTTGTTCCGGACAAAGTGCAAAGTCATATCTCTCCCTTTATAGAGTAACTAATTAGTCTAATTGCTGGTCTGCTCTCCTACTGTATCCTCGTTGGTTCCTCCTTGTCAGGAGACGTCTTGTCCTGACATCTACCCAGCAATCATCCAAATTATCATCTTCTTCACCTGAAGATATCATTGGTTCCTCATTATCACCCGTTCCCGGCTGACCACCTAATTGAAGGGTGGAGGAGTTTGAAGGTTCAAGCCGATCTTGCAAATCAAATGCATTCATCTCCTCCTCATCGTTAGAACTTGCTGATTCATATAAGTCCTCCTCGCTGGAGCTGTCATTCAAAAAACCTGTAGCAGATGCCGGAATCACAACATATATGTATATATGTATGTATGTAATCTATCATCTCTCTCTCCCCCCTCTCATCTATCTATCTATCTATCTATCTATCTATCTATCTATCTATCTATCTTCTATCTATCATCTCTCTGTCCCTCCCTCTCTCTCATCTGTCTATCTATCTATCTATCTATCTATCTATCTATCTATCATCTATCTATCTATCTATCTATCTATCTTCTATCTATCATCTCTCTCTCCCTTCCTCCCTCTCGTCTGCCTGCCTGCCTGCCTTATCTCTCTCTATCATCTCTTTCTCTTTACCTGTCATCTTTCTGCCTGTCTATCATCTATCATCTATCTATCTATCTATCTATCTATCTATCTATCTATCTATCTATCATCTATCTATCTATCTATCTTCTATCTATCTATCTATCTATCTA